TGCTGCAGTAATTTATCGATAGCATCCGGTTCAGTAGCGCTCACTTCAGCGCCAGGTCGTTCAGCCTTCTCCTTCATCTTCTGGCTTTTCTTGTCGTTATCTGTATTTTTCGATCGGGGAACGTATTTAGGACGGCCGCCCGTAGCTTTCAGCTGAGTGAGCGTGATAATTGGCTCTCTCTCAATACGCCCGTCCTTGCTTGCCCGGATTACCAGATTTACGCTGGTGGTGTTGTTCTTCTCTGGCTCGATTGCCTCTAGTCGTTCCATAACCCCATCCACAACTAAATCTGCGTCTTGCCCCACATGGCCAAAGCTGCAATCGGCGACATGCTGTTCGGTCTCCTTGCCGTTTACGATAACCTTCATTGTGCCCATCTTGATATCTGCAAAATACGTCGTTTTAATTGGGCTACAGAAAGTACGATAAATTGCAGTATGTAGCATGGTTAGCCTCCTTTAAAGCGCAAATGTCTATAAATTAACATAACCAAGCACCTACATTACATTTTCCTGACTTTATTACGGGAAATCGAAACTGCTTAGTACTTACTGATAGTTTGGGCTAGAGTGGTGCAGAGACAGCAGCCGCGAATGCTTCGTAGCCACAGGTCGATGCAACTGTCCACGAAAAGATTCCCGTAGACGACGACGATATGTTTCTTTTTAACCAGTTGGCGCAGCCCGCGCTCCAGCCAGTAGTCTATGTCCTGCAGATGTACGTCGAACGTACAGATCCAGTGTTGGATTTCGGTGCGTCACATGGCATATCGGCCGTGGTAAAGAATTACGCGAATCATCCGACGAAACTTGCTAGTCGTGTCAATTACTTTCGTCTCTGGATCGCGGTTATTCTTTACTTCCTCGGCCACTTCGAGCACAAAACGTCCATCGCGGCTCATCTTCTTGAGCAAGATTCCAGCATTAATAGCGTCGCCGAGGAAGAAATCCACTCGTTCTTCCGTGAAATCATCGTGCATTTCCACAATGAATTTCTTGATTGATGACATGTCCACATAATATCCCGTAATGTCAGCCTCAAGGATGCACGCGTGGGCTGCCGTATGCATCACCAATTGTCGACGGTTTCGGATGGTTTCGTTTGGCTGCAGAGGCTCCGCCATGGCAAACTGAACTGATTCGCGAGTCCGTCCCCTCCAGTACTCGTAGTGGGCAATCGCATCCGTCTCGGGCGATGGCAGAGGCTCTTCAGATGGTCCCACAGGTTGTGCTGACATGATGCTCGGATGATTCGAAATGATTAAAATAAAATGCGGCGAACAGAAACAAAATGCGCTAGTAATAAAATGAAACAGAAAACCCGTCACCGCGAAAGGATAAATATTGTTGGGTTCTTCGCTTTTTATGAATGAACAGCTGATATTCTCTATGCTTGCGATGCGGCATTCTGTCACTTGCCAGCCGCCCTGATATGGCAATGCTATCGGAAACTGCGCAGTCTCTGGTCTGTGTCTTGAATATTTCCCAGCCGCGTGTTTTGGTTTTGACTTTCTTTCTTTGAGTTCTTTTTATCATTATGATTTGTTATTTGTATTAAAATTTGGCTTTTGTGGTTGCAATTTGCAAATCCTCAACGAAAACAAGCGGTATTCTGTGTGAACTATGGCAAATATGAAAGTGGGAATAAAATTCACAAAAATCCTCTTGTCGCCTGTCAACCGCCTGGTGGTATACTCAGTGAATTTTGAGTTTTCGGTGTCGGTGCCAGTGTAGATTGTCTGTTGTGCTTTTCTCTGCACTTCAGTTTCTCAATTCTCTGAACCTGCTGGCATTCCTGTTATTCTCCTTTTCCCTTCTTTCGACGATTGATTTGTCACTTTTATGTTTTGAAAATGTCGCCTCCTGCTAAGAAGCCAACTGCGCGAAAGACTGCATCGCGTACACCGCGCCCGAGTCGAGCAACAGCAGGTTTGAGTTTTGGTTATTCTCCGGACAGCGATGAAGCCCGTTCTTCATCGCGTGTCACTCGATCTCGAGTCTCTCGCCGTACTTCCGCGCAACCAGTGTTTTCTGCGCAATCTTCTGGGTCATCGGGATCGGTGAGTGCAGCAGAGGCTCAGCAACCTTCCACGAGTTGGGCAGATGCAGTAGTCAATGCTTTACAGCGCCGCTATGACAAGCAACGGCGACGCACAATTCTACGACGCAATGCTGCTGTGGTTCGCCGCCGTGCTCGCCGAGGATCATTCCCTACCAGTCCTGACGTTGAGATTCGTCAGCCGTCACCAAAGAAATTGCAGACGCAGGCAGAAAGACAGTTGGGTACTCCAGACTTGACGGAAGAAGAACCATCGTCTTCTGAGACTCCATCTGTAAAGGCAAAGCGAGGTATTACCTAGTCTCTATTGGTCTGCTACCTTTTATTGGTCTGCTATTTGCTCAATTCATATCTGGCTTGCTTTTCGCTTGGTATAGCTGTTGTGTTCTTGTCTGTCTATTTGTGCGCTTTACTTCACCGTGATTAATCGGTGTTTCACTGCTTTTAATCACTGCTCCTACTTGCTGTATTGTCTACGATGTAGTTCGGGCTCATCATTCAGCTGTATTACTGATGATTGTACGTTTTATCCAATGACAGATGAAGAGCATCTGCGTAAAGGTGGCATCCTTTATGCCCCGTACAACCCGGATGCACCGCGGCCGGTCTTCAAGACCAAGCAGACGGCTCGCAAACGAGCGCATTCCGGCGTATTTCCAAGAATGGCTGTCGCAAACAAGAATGGTGAGCTGGCTATATCTGAAGCCTATTTTTCTGGACTAAACCGCTTTCATCCTTTTTATCCACGTCTGTATTTGTCGCGCTTTTTATTCCGTCACGGAGCTCTGATTAACCGTTTTGACTTATGTGCATTTACTCGGATGCTTCCTACGGCTATCGCTCTTGAATTACGAGGCCAATATCTCTATCTCAATCCTGTTTTTATTGGTCTATTTAAAGAAATCGCCAATCGTCAGCAGCGTGATGCGGTGGCTCGTCAAGCGGTAGTCGATGCTGGCGTCGTGGAAAATGCTGAACCGCAGCCATCCACTTCTGCTGGACCATATAATTTTCGCACTCGTGGGGAAAAGCGCAAGTACAAGGAGGTTTCGCCGTCCTCGTCCTCTGCGCCAAGTGAAGTTTCCGTTTCGGATGATGGGGAAGATCGTGAGGATCCTTCGGCTGTGTTATCCCCTGAGCAGAATGCTGATGTCGAAGCTGACGAGAATGCAGATATGGTGGTCGATTGTGATGATGATGATGGATCTGATTTTGAGAAAATGGATGTTGATCCGCTGCTGTCTTTGCAGCCAGTTGTCCCTGCTGTGCCACCTGTTGCCGCTGCTGCACGTGAGGATTCACCCGAAATTGCGGAACCAGCAGTTTTTGCTCAGCATCAGCCGCACTCGGATGAACTGTAATGTTGTTGACGTTTGCTATTGCACTATCTTCGCTGTATTCCTTTGGTATCGTTGGTTTCTTCAATTCATGTCATAATGGTTCCTCTCATTTTATATTTGTAGTGTGGTATTACATTTTAGAGCACAACGAGAATTTTTGTCCTTCAATTTTATTTTCCAATTTTACGCGCTGCGCTGAGTCATTGAACTGGTCGTTAGTGTATTATATGTGTGCGGTAGCCGCCAGTGCCGAATCTTTCGTTGTACCTGCATAAGATCTGATTTTCCGATTACGTTGAATTAAAAGGATATAGCGCGAAGCGCTGATTGGTTGCTTCTCTTACTAGTATGGAATCTGCCGCAGTTTAAAATTTCGCTCCCGCAGACAGGTATAAAATCACTTGCGCGTAGTGTGCAGAAATCGGCATTGTGGATTTTTCGTTTCGGCCTTCTGGCACGTTGGATTTTCAGTGTGTATAGACTGTAATTTTGACGCTTTTCTCTTTGCACTTTTAGCGTTAAAGGTCACTAGTTTTTCGTTCGTTGGGCATGCCGCCTATCGATCCTAACCGTGCTTTCGATAAATTGGTAGACGCTATTTTTCATTCGTCTTCCAACCAGCAGCAACAGTATAATGCCGGTTATAATCACCGAGGAAGGGGTGGAGCCCGTGGTGCTTACCGTGGCAACTTTCGTCCGTACGGCCGAGGAAATCATAGGAATTTTGGAGACAATAACTTGCGTCGTGGAAACGATCATTGGCGTCGTAATGGCCGACCTCTGGGCGCACCGGAAGTTATTGAAGTACCTGATGGAGTCGATCACCCAGTTGCTCCAGTGGAAGCTGCCGCCGCAAACATGGAGGTTGACGACCCGGGCAACCAAGCAGCGAATGCACCGAATCCGGTCCAAGGCAACGGAAATGTGGCTGCAGGTGAGCCCAATGGTGTCAACCCTGCTGTCAATCTACATGGCCCACCAGCCTTGAATGCCGTTGTCGTTCCTCCGGCTGTCATTCCACCTGTGCAGGCCCCGGCTAACGCTGAATTTCCCGGTTTGCCACCAAATGTGTTGCCACTTGCTGAAGTGCCGATTGTCCGCGATGCCCGCGACCGTTCTCCGGCTGATCGCCCACGTGCGCCGTCTGCACCTTCCGGTCCTGTTGGGTCTGCTGAGCATAATTTTGTGCCCGGTTATTTGGCCCAGCAGCAGCAGCGTGAATTGGATGCTGATCGTCGACGACAGATGGCTGCTGATGTTTCTCGCCGTTTGGATGCCGCTGCAGCGTCTGGTTCGGGCATAACGGGTTTGTTTTCATTGGCTCCTAGTGCTGGCAAGTAACCTTGACTCACCTTTGCCATTGACCTTGTCTGCTTTCTTGGATCTCATATTGTTACTGGCGTTGTTGTGCCAAAGCTACTTTCACCTTCGTTTTGCTGTTGTTCCTTTACTGGTTTAAATTTCCTCTTTTGTACTAGTAACTGGTGCTCATGCTCCTGAGATTATTCTGGTTAGCTTGTTTGTTGTTGTTGACCTTGTTATTGTGATGTAATCTGGATTCGAGAATTCGTAAGAATACCAGTCAGATAATTCATTGCTCCGTTTCGCTTCCTCTGTACATACAATGCGTAATAATTCGATTACTAAACAAGCCATATTCAACTTTAAGTTTTTAAGTCATCGCTAATAAAGCTTTATGCCGTATTCTGTATATACAAAATACCATCTAAACTCAAACGGCACAGTATTAGTAACTCGTAATCAGCTCTCCTGGATCCTTGGACTTCGCCCTGCCAAACCCGTGGACTTCCGGATGCCTCTTCGCCAAGGATTCCACACATTCACTCATTCGGAATCGCGGCGTACAGTCACATTGGGCATCGGATGGACACGTGGATTGTGCGGTGGATCGGGATCGGGATGGATGCAAGTGCACAATCGCACTGGGATGTTTCGGGATGGATTGTTTATTTTGGCACGGCCAAGCATCGTTCGTAAGGGTGACGTATGGGAGTAGGATCACACGCCGGAGTACGTACTGGATGCTGACTGTCCGCCTTCCACCTGTAACACAACGGATAATCTAGTCAATCTCTTCTGTGATTTGCTGTTCTCTTTTACTAGCGATGTAAATGATGTCATAACGCGAAGTCTATATAAGTTCTTGTGAGGCCTAATATCGGAATCAGTAGTCTGAGATTTACTTCTGAGACTGCTTCCTAATTACAATTTCCTAGCGTTGTGAACTGTGATGTGAATTGGATAAAGAGACAGCAATACTTGTTCCTTCTGGTGTACATGATCGCTCCCGGATTATTGCATAGAATACAGGTTTGCTCGTGACACAATCGTCCTAGCTCTTACCGATCCTCACAGGACTTACGACCGGAAGTTGTGGTTAGTGTGTTCCTGAGGGATTCCTGTTCTTTCGTGTTCCTGAATCGTTCGTCTTATTTCCACCATAGTTCTTCTGTTACAGCTTGAGAGTATGAGTGCCTACCGATTGAGCATTACAGGCGTGGAAGAGTAAAGATTGTTCATGGAGCCTTAACCGGCGTGAACGCTTATACACGACATGGTAAATCTTGTTCCTCTCGGCACCGACTGCGGGCGTGGCACAGTTGAACTCGCGTAGTAATCTGACAAGTGAGAAGAAGGGCGTATTAACCGAGAAGAAATTGGAAAGAAAATGTTGTAAGACACTGGAGAATGGAGAATCTGCCTAACCAAATACACAAAAAATATTCCATTGCTAATTGGCCGCCTATGCGCATACTGTCCCAGATAGAGTTTATCTGGCGTGTGTAAGGTTACCAATGTGACCTTGCAAAAATGTGTATCAATCTATCCAAAAAAGTAGATGGTGCCATGTGCAATGCGATCGCCGTACTAATTTTCGTTATCATAGTAGGGCAAATATCTCCAGGTAAAAAACTAGCATTGTTTTCGCTTAATCAATAACTGGCCTTGAATCGGCCTTTGATTCCTTTACGTGCCCAGTATTACCGCTTCAGCTACTGCAAGTGTGGAATCCTTTGTTTTCTGTTACAGTGGTGCTCAAACAAGGCGAGAATCTGCTGGAACTCAATCATTTGTACGGTTGTACCTACATCCTTGACATTTACGACATTTACAAAGCAAGAAAACAAAAATATATTATTATTTCCAGGCAGAAGTTTGCAACCGTAACCGGTTTATAGTTAACACTATGTGGTTCTCCTGATTGTTCTATTTACCACTCTGGTTCGGTAAAACCAGTCGTCAAGCAATTCGTTATACCAACCAGCTGATTTAATATTGCGACAAATACTGACCGTATTTGTCGTATTTGTACGTTCAACTTGTGCATATTGTCGCCAGCAAGCAATTTGAACAGCTTTATTACTGCTTTATGGAGACATTTCCTCATGAGCGTTCCTGTTCGTTAATTATCAGGCAAGCTCACTGGCTGCACGAGTGGGGCTAATGAAAATGTAAATCAACAACAGTGACTTACTAAGTAGCCTGTAGGCATTGTTGCCTAAACACATTACACAGTAAGTAGTCATTTTAACAAATACGGTAAAACCGTTTCAGTAAACCACTGACCGTACGATATCTTTCCAACTGAATCCATAGAAATGAAGCTTGGTGAACCAGGACGCTTAGTTGACCAAATAGCCGGAGTGTCGAATTCCATTTTTTGGCTTTTCGCCATTGCTTCTTCCTTTACTGAACGCACTTTCACACTTAGGGAAATTCGTTTAGCTACTCCATCCGGATAATGATTTGCTCGACCACAGGAGTAACTGCCGCTGTGTACTGCCGGAATCGCGTGTACAACATGCAAGAAATTTTCACCAGTTGTGCTATTCCACTTTGTGCTCACATTAAGCGCCAGATACTCCTGTAGATTCGATTGCCGCCATAGGCTCAGTTCCTTTCCATGTATATACCATTGTACCGGGTCTTCAAAGCTGCGAGTGGTCAACGTAAAGGAATCCCCTTCCCGAACAAATATTTCCGCTATCTTGTTGTCCTGGATTTCTGCTTCAAATTGGCGGTCTAGCTCCTGGCCTTCCGCAGCTGTGGTAATCATCGCAAGGCATATAATCCATACCGGTGTATGGATTTGCCTGGATAATAGGAAAGCAATATCCATTTTTGGGATAATAGTCAGCGATTTTTTATGGATTCGCCAAATTTACCGCGCAGTGTGCAACGAAAGGTGACGAGCATTTTAGCGGCTTTTGTAAACCGATGGTAATTTCTCAAACAAATAGTACATCGCAGTTGAAGCAAAGCAGGGTTTGCAAATCTGCAACTAACGGAGTAGCGGTTTTGGCATTTGGTGGAAGCACTGTACTTATTATGTACGTATCTTTAGTCCACACTAGAACGGTTGCGGACTTTAGTACAGTATGTGTAAAGTTATCGAGTTGTATAGTACCTAGCGACCCGATCAACCGCAAACTATTTGCATAATTGTTAACAAAGTAAACAAAAGTTTCAGAAACGGTACTTTAAACTACCTGTTTTCCAGTACTGTCTTTGCTTTTAGAGCTGTCTTTTAGGTATCTCCGCTGTCTATCCTATTGCATAGTTTCCTAATGCTGATACCAACTTACGTACTACTTCTCAGCTATGTATTTAGAACCTACCATACGGTACACACGATATTCATATCATCATAATATTACTATTAATATTACTGATACTACTTTTGTATGTGGAACACACCATAGAATTTGATGCTTACACCTATCATCGTTAATTAGTATAATTATTGGTAATAATTATTATTAGATGCTAGCTAGAACAGCAGTGCGTAAATGCGCTTATGTATTGCACTGTACAATACAAGTGCGCTTATTTATAATACACACTTTGCACTTCAGCCCTGGCTAAGTACATTACAGCTGGTGTACTGAATTGTAGGTACAAAATCAAGGAATTTGTCGGCAGTTGCAACTACAAGCATGGTCAATACCGTAAGTTAGTTGAGCCGATAATAATTATTTGCACACAAATAAGTAAAGTACAAGTCGTAGCTGATAACAGACATGCTACGCATTTTCTACCCGAAATTTAAACTTTCTGTAACCTTCAGAAACCAGTAAGCTGCATCTATGAATTCGTTTGTTTTGTACCCATGGTCGCAAACTTGTGAATGAAATCTGCATGATCCTGATATGCACAAACTGGGCTTTAGCAAAATAAGTACATGGCGTCAGTGGTTCTCGTCCACGAACTACGGTAAATCTGTTGGAAGCAATTTACCACATATCAAGCATGACAAAAAATGGCAAAGCTCGTACAAAGGAAGTGTTAGCTGAAACTGAAAGACCGACGCAAAGTCAGAATTTGGTATGTTTTTGATTTACTTTATGGTTCATTCTGACATGCTATGCGGTAGTCGCACCGCGACAACAGCTGCACTAGATGACTAAACCTACTCAATCGGTAAAGTGGGAACATGCTCTGGACTCCGTAAGTGGTACACGAACTACCTGCTTCCGCTAGGTACGAGCGGATTGCTGTGCCTAACGAAAGTTACCGAAACCGAAACACTCATAAACTTCCCAAATGTTTAATCACCAAACTGAACGAGCAACCAAACACAACAGAAAAGAACGAATGAACTTTTTTCTAACCTAGAGTCACACGACCTTTCAGCTAGAAACAAGCCCACAGATTTAGTTGAAGTTAGAAACTTCGAACTGATTAGTTTAACCAGAACTGTGGATGGAACTAACGATCAAATGCGTTAGATAAGAACAGCAAGTCGTACGGCAGCAGAAACAGGCAACACGTATGTCATAATACGTACGTAATATGCACAACCTACGCATAGCGCGTTAATTTTTTATTCGTTTCTTCATGAATTACTTTTATTCTTGGTAATTATTCACAAACTGCTCTTTTTAATTCCTTACAATAACAGGTGCAGTATTTAATTAGTGCCTGCGCTATACTACTGTCCGGTGGCCTTTACAGAGCTTAGCGACAACTGACCTAAATAAAATAAATCGATTCTGCTGACAATGAAATATCAAATTATTGTATTTTATATGCATACTCGCACAGATAAATCTGCGAATGCAACCAACTCCATGTGCAGTTGCACCTTAAAGTTCCGGCCAAAGTGGGCGTCAAACTGCACCACCTATCTGTACTTAAAAGTAGATGCTTATGCTAGGTCCATACTTCAATCGTAATAAGAATGTTCACGACAAATCGCAGTCTTAAAATGAGAACTTCGATTACAATAACCACACTCATAGACATATTTTTTCGAGGATGTTGCATATAAACTTGCAGCAATGTTATACTATACAATTTGTATTTCCTACAACACTTCCCAGCCATTTACTTCGACTGCAACTGAATTTCAGCCTACGCTGGAAGAAGCGATTGGCGGACATACTCGCTTATTGTTATCAACAAGCGAAAGAAAAATTTTTTATTTATTTTATAATATCATTCGAAAACTCACTACAGTACAATACCCAAACACAGTAGATCAATCATGGTCGCCTGTCATATCCAAAAAACCATCACATATAACATAAATGCAATAGCAAACTTCAGCGATAATATAATACTATTCTGAATC